AAGATGTGATCATATTTCGCACGTATCTTTAATGGAAAACTTATAAATCAATTATATGGTTTCATTTGCCATTATCATCCGTTAATCTAAAGTGGAGCGATGTAGTTAATGACAATGATGGCTTATTTATCGCAGTAATAAAATAGCCATTTCATTAACCTATTTATACTAATAAAATCGCCATGCGCAATCCGTCTGATAAACAAACCTACAGTGATTCATACGCATTTCTGTTATCAGCATCAAGTATAATATTGTTTTATGTAATCATGCTAATTATAACAAAAAATAATATAAATGAACATGATTTAATTATAAAATTTCATATGTAATATTTAGAGAGATACATCGACGTACGACACTTTACCAGATTATCATACACACACATTTATCAATAACAGATGTATCGATAATTACCATCGTATCGCGTTAAACAATATCAAATTAAAGTTTGATAAAGAATCAATATAACTTTAAAATTTCCACAATATATATAGCAAACGTTTCTAACAAAATATAACCACAGAAAGACAATTCATTTATTTCTTTTTAATTTGCAATAAAATTTGAATTATAATTATCACGAATAGGAGAGAGAATAAACAAATTCAATAATACATTCCGCAATTTTAAAATAATATTGAAAAACCTTTGCCATATGAAAACTATTTGTTTATATTATATTAGTTAATAAAAACAAGAATATTACGTGAACAAGTCTTTTAACTTACTGATTTCACAAAATTATAGATAATATATAAAATTTGCGGTGCCCTATCCTAAGTATTATTTTAGTGACATATAAATGAGCAAAGAATTGAAATTAGTCTGATAAACGAGCAAATCGATATGATTCAATTAATGATATTTAATTTTTATTTACATAAATATAAATTGCGATAAGTGAAAATGCGACATCAATTAGGACTTATCAGCGGACACCGATAGCTAATCGAAACAGCAATCTTATCTTTTGGATAAGAAGTGCGAATTAAGTATTATCAAATTGTTAATTATTTTTTGCCAAAGAGAGACACAAAATAGGTGCGAGAGAGAAGAAAGCACTCTATGTGCTTTCTTCTCTCTCGCACCTATACTTGAGCTCGCTAATTTATTCTGAATTCTTGATTATCGAAAAAGTCGCGAAATCTAATAGACTGCCAATCAGCATTACCAAATGAGAGAATAGTTATCTATACTTTCTACAATCGCGCGACGTTTACGTTTATCGTTCAAAGTGTATAAATCGACTTAATAGGAACATCATCGCCATTTACACAAAATTTTTTTAAACAAATATTAATTCTTTTCAAATATCTTACGCGAAATGAATTTAGTTTAATATTTTTAATATTTTTAAAAATACCTCAACTCTGAACTCATTAATTTTTAAATGTTAAATTAATGACATAATTATGAGATTGCACTTATCGCTAATAAGACATGTGATTTGTTTGCGTATTACTTAGTAATATTATTTTTCGAATGTTATAATATTTTTTAAAGATATGATCCCACAAATTTGTTTTTAAAAGTCATTCTTGAGTAAAAGACGTTTTACGAATTTGTTTTCGAACGGCGATACGGAGAATTCTCGCTTATCGTGACGGAGCATAATCGATGGTTAAAAATCATTTTATGTTTACTCGGTAGCAAGAGGGTGACAGAAAGTTACCTCTGTATATACCAGAGGTCCACAATATGATATACATATATGTTTGCTACCTGCATGGACCCTGATATATCGACAATGGCGTAGAATGCATTAATATCCAAGGATTCATATAAATAGTTACGACAGTAACTGTAAGATAATCATGATCATCGCATTTTACATATCACAGTTTATGTGTTTATAATTAAAATATTGCAATAAAGAAGAAATATTTTAAAACATAAGAAGAATATGCAAAATTATATAGTTGTCCAACTATATAACTTTTATGAGATTAAGCACACGTGAGTATAATAAAAAATATATAAATAAAAATATATAACAACAAGAAGTCAAGTATTAATATAAATAAATTACAACAAACCATAAATTTCTTCTAACGTATCAATATCTAAATTTATATCGTTAGGATTTTTTCTTCTAACAATTAAATTTACTTTTTATAATAATAAATAAAATTATAAATTTGAGATAAAATAATTAAGATAAGAACAGAATTTTACATTTTATCCTCCAGAAAATTCGATAAAATGAAGAATTCAGCGAATATAGCAGATTAACCTCCTTTTTTAAACACTTGGAAAAATTTAAATTTTCTTAAAATTTTCTTTTAATTTTCTCGAAGTCTTAAAAAAGTAGGTTGAACTACTGCCGTGTGCACCGTGTTAAGCTTTCAAAATATATTCTAAGGAAACAGCATGTGTGTCCACGACACTGATGCGATAACATTACGAGAGTACGTAGAAACGTATCGAGAGGAGAGTGAAAACGAGTATTCCGTGAGTGTGCTGGACGTGCTTCGGCCCTTAAGTAAACACTCTTTCGTCTCTTATTTGGCTACATACGAGCAAACGAGGAGAGCGAACCATTTACCTTCCAAGCACAATGTTCGTGGTGGGACCACGAAGCGGACGACATCGGGTGATCCATCATTTTTCGATTGTTAAACGCCTCAAGTATTTAGACGCGATGAGTATCTTCACGCATCTACATCGAATTATTATAAATTTTTGCATCGCTGAAGGATCTTTCTCAAGTTTTAAATGTATAATCGCATTCTAAATAATAGTCGCGTATATGTATGTATATATATATGTATTTAAATGCTGTACGCTTAATAATTATAAAAAATTAATATTTGGGGAAAAAAGATTAGAATATAAGATAACAATATGAACCACAGTATTTTTATCCGACAAATAAAGAAATATATATCTATTATATGTATAATGATCTATAAAATGTGTTTGTATTTTATTATGTCAAACTTATACGATAAAATAAAATATTTAATATAATAGTTCAGAAACCTAAGAATATTTTACATCCTTAATTTTTATTCTATTGTGATTAATGTAATTTAAGTATTTTAATTTTAGAATACGTTGATTCTTTTGTTTGTTTGTTAATCCATACAATTGTTGAATGATAATCGTAATTACAAAGCATTTTAAAATTTAAAGAAATATTTATAACCAGACGCATTGTTACCCCACTAATAATCAATTATTCGTTTGATTGTTGTAAGAAACAGCCGATAAGGGGAACAATTACTCGCAAACGCGAGATGATATTAGACGACTATTAGGGATCTGATAATGCAACACGTATTATTGATACAATACTTTATTGCATGATGCTATCCAAACGAATATTCACTAATACGCATATCTCTGATTACATATTTTTCAGATAATCAGATATGCGCTATAATTAATCTCAATGACTTCGATCATTGCTATGATAAAAAATATTTTGATTATAAATGTGTTTATCTATTCGTTGAAAATTATATATAACAAAATTATATATATTTTATTACATATAATTATTACATATAATAATATAATATATACACATATAAATTTATGTATAATTAACCAATTTAAAATAAATCAATATAGAAAGTTAAAGGATAAATGCAAGAAACAGAAGAAAAAAAAATCGCGGTAATTTAGCATTTATTTATAGAAAACTATTTATAGAAAACGAGAAAACTTACAATATAAGAAACGGATCAATCCAAGGAGTTTACTCAAATAATTTGAAAAGTTAAGTTCTAAAGGATATTTAATAAAAAAAAAAGTTTAATTGAATGAAAGAAATATATCAATTTCCAATGAAGTTCACGGATAATTTGCTCTCTCGTAATTCAATACCTCAGTTTCTACCTTTATTTTCCTAATATCGAAGATATTAAGACAATAATTTGTAGACTGGAATATAATTCTCATTCATCATCATGTTAAGGATTATGTAATAAAAAAAGATTATAGTTCAAAAGAAATAAAATAATTTTACCATTTTCTTCAAATTGAGTCTTACGAACTTACAGTAGGTGGCCATCAAACTTGAACCACAGTTAAATTAATGACACGATAATATCGATTACAATCTTGATACCCGTCGCGCGGATACCAAGAATCCCCAAGAAGACGCCGCGGAATCGTTCATCTGCTTGCACCCTTGCCACATTTTCACGCCTATTTGCTTCTCCTTCAGACTACCACGATCACGTGGAGAACCTTCGTGCGTCTCTTCACATCTCTTTCTATATCTCTCTCGCGCCGATCCTTCACGCAAGCTCTGATTGGTCGAGGGGGAAACTCCAGGGTGGCATTGCTATCCCCGTTGCACTCGATGGAAGTATCTCGCTGTGTCTCACCCCCGCCGAAGGATCTGTGGGTGTGTAGCTCGGACACGCCCGACCCGCGGTGGGCGTAGTCAAAAGCCAGCTGCAACGATTCTATCTAGTGGGAGAAGCTTTTTCGGCGGACACGCGGTCACTCGCGACGTCACTTTGCGACGCGACGCCGAGCCGCTTGCTCGTGTCGTCGGCTTCGTGTGAAGATTGTGACTCGTTTAATCGCGGAATCGATCGGTTGCGAAGGACGATTATCGATCTATCAAGTGCGTATGACCGAACTAATGAATCAGTTAATAATCGCTTCAATGACATGGCCATGTAATTCGAAATTGTGCAAAACGTTGCTGAGATTTACACAACTACACCTACTAGATCATCTATAATCAATTGATTTAAGGAATTACAATCGTTACATGAAGACTTCGTTATAACTAAGAATTAGTTTACATCAAGTGTTGACGTTGAACATCATCCTGGTATATAGATACATCCCACTCAATCAGTCGTTATTGTTTTTTTAAACATTTTTATATACAATTCATTTGAATCAGTGATTAGAACACGAATCATTATATTGCTCAAGTGACTAAATTAAATTAAATTCCAATAGTGTTGACATTGCAAGAACATAATTACATCAAAAAATATGTGTTAAAGACCTACAGTGATCACAAGGATATGGCAGCTATGCATTACAACGCGCAGATGGTTTCAGAAGACTTGCATCAGCATCCACGACATCTCTATAACCTTCAACAAAGACTACAAGATCCTGGATCTTCGCCCAGATCGGAGGACGCCCGATCACCGCTGGACAGTCGAGTGAGATCGCTCGAAGAAGTACGTTACGTGGGTGCCAGATCACCAGACGTGGAAGATAGAGTAATCAGATATCATGAAGATGCCGGAAGTAAACGTTTCCCTAAAGACCATACGGGTCCTGTTTTTTTCCAGGACTCGGAGAATTCTTCCAGAAAATGTTTTAGCGATGAAATAGCGACAAGTCGTTGTCGCGAGTCAGAAAGTTCTCCTGGAAGGACGTCCTCGCCGCAAAATTACATCCTCAGCTCATCTAATCAACACAATAGCTCTATTGGTAAAACGTCCTTCTGCATCGATGCACTTCTAGGTCGCGCCACGAAGCAGAATGAGATAGAACAGTCGACCGATCGAAATCAACAAAAATCGTTCTCCAGAAATCACGGTATCCAATCTGATAGTCTGAATCTTGGTAACATTCAGGAACGGGAATCTCCCAACGCAATAAGATGCTCTGGAGAAAGAACCGCCTTGAGAAACTCTTTAAATCCTTTCATTCAGCATCATGAATCTGATTCGCCCAGTTTGGAAACTCGAGAAAGACACTCCTCCAATCGTGAGACTGTTCTTGGTCTCCATTCCAGCGATTCCGGCATGTCTGTCCAAAGGAGTCAGTTCAGGCCTGAAACGGGGACCAGCAATTATCGGAACGACCGGCTCGAAAACGTCGAGGATGATACGTCGGTTGACGTGGACCCTACGCGAACCGGAAGCGCCAGTCCCGGAAGCAACGCAAGTCGCAGTCCGGCTTCTAGTCCTCCAATATCCCCCGGTTCAGAGGATCCGTCCAGTAACGGGGTGCTAAGCCATCAGAGTCTTGCATCCGGGCCTTACGGCGTGGGTGCAGCGGTGGTCAGGCAGAATCAGGGTCTTCTACTACATCCCGCGGGACCACTCATTCATCCTGGAGGATTGTACTATCATCCGGCCGGCGGTAGCGCCTTCCACTCGATACACAAGGAGGGTCAGCCGGTCGGCCATCCCCAATCTGGAGGGCCTCATCCTCAGCATCACATCCATCCACTCCAGCTCGAGTGGTTTGCTCGGACAGGCATGTTATACCCAAGACTTCCCGCGGATTTGGCCGGTGAGTAGATTGACGCAATTAATTAACACAATAGTTGTTTCGAATGACTTCATGTTATTGAATCATCATGTTATTACAGCTCTTGATAATTATTATATGAAATATATAGAAAAGAAAAATATATTTCGCGATAATAAAACAAATTTTATATCGAAGAAAATTTAAGACATTATTTAAAAAATTTCATTGTACCTAAAAAAAAAGAGTATATTTAAATTCATATCTAATAACACTAATAAAATTTTTGACAATACTGAGAGAAAAATTATTTTACTTATTAAGTATTTTAAATTATAACAATAATTTTTGACAACAAATAGTAAAAAAAACGCATGTATATATATAT